TTGGAAACAAGAAAAATGGGAAAGCCCATCTGTAAATCCAAGAGCCCGTTCTCCTAAATAAATAAATAAACAAACAAGCAAACAAATCAGAGGAGAAAGAAAAACCACAAAAGCCCACAAGCACAGAGGAGGAGAGAAGCAGGGCAGTGGAGGAGACTGGAAGTGACAAGTCAATACATTCGATATTCTCGATGACACCGACAATTTTCTAAGACAACATAAATTACCAAAATTAGGTTAAAGATGCTTAAAACAAAACCGTGTCCATCAGCAGAGACGTGGGAAGAGACACGTGGTCCAGGCTCCAGTGGTGGGACTTGGTTCCTGTCCCACACGACACACAGCAGGACCCCCATTTCAGGTGACCAGGCCACAGTCAAGGGAGTCAGGGGCTGCAGGAACAGTGAGGACACAGCTGAGCATGGGGAGACTTCCCAGCCAAGCGGGGTACATAGGGGGCTCCGGTAGCAAGCAGGGCCCAGCCACCAGGTCAGAGGGCTGTGCTGAAAGTGTAGACCCCAGGCCCTGGCCCCGCACTGCGCCTCTGGCATGGTCCGTAGCCGGAGGGACTGGAAGCAGCCGGGCCCACATGAGGAAGCAGGGGAGGCAGGTGTGCAGAGGTCTCTGTGGGCCCCACTGTCCCCTGACATCGTCCAGAGCAGAGCAGAGCAGTCCCTCTGTCAGACTCAGCTCACGTGGGACAAACCCAGGGGTCTTCTAACCACCTCAGCCAGCAACAGTCCCCAAAGGCCCAGCGTTTCTGTCCCATTTCCATGTCAAGAGCCTGTGCAGTCTTCCAGAGGATTCTCTAAGAGACATTGTAAAAGATCAGGATTTCCTACACTGGCCTACAAACTGGCCTGCAAAACTATCTCGGGCTATTTCCTTGGCAGGAAGTTGTTTTGTTTTTGTCTTTTCTGAGACAGGGTCTCACTATGTGGTTTAGGCTGGCCTTAAAAGCACTTTGTAACCCAGGCTGGCCTCAAACTCCAGCAATTCTTCCTGCCTCAACTTCCTGAGTACTGGCATTACAGGCATGCACCACCACCCCCAGCCTAGCAGAAAGCTTTTGAACAGTTTGATCTGTTCAGGGGCCACAAGCCTACCTGTAGGCTCTCTTTCTCCTTCAGTCAGTTTTTGGCCATACTTTCCCAGGGACTCATCCATTTCCTCCAAGTTGTTCCTGATCTCTCTGCAGCCTGTGTAATTTTGCCTGTCTTTTTATTCCTATTAATATCATATGCTTGTTCTTTGTCCCAGTCAAGGTCAACTGATACTTGTCAATCTGTTAGTCTATCAAAGGTGAATATTGTGGGACTTCTTCGCTGTTGGTGTCATGTAATTTTTAATTTTTGTTGTACTGGAAACTGAACCCAGGGACGCACTGAAAACATTCACCAGCCCTTTTTACTTGGACACAGACTTTTGCTAAGTCACCAAGGCTGGCCTCAAATTTGCCATCTTCCTGCCTTAGCCTCCTGAGTGAGCTAGGATTATAGGCATGTATTACCTCAACCAGCAAGTTTCATGTCCCCCTGCTGCCACCTTTCTCTCCTTCTCTTTGGCTTTAAACTTTCTTTCCCCTAAGTTAGAGGTCCCAATGACAGCCAGGGACTGAACTGGCCTCCTACCTGTTTCTGTACAGGCCAAAGGCTAATAGCAGTTGCACATTTTTCAAGGGTTACAGAGGAAGAAACAAAGGAAAGAGACATGTGTGGGAGACATGTGACCTTCAAAATCAAAACACCTGCTATCTGTCCTTTAGAAGAAATGCCCTGCCAGCCTCTGCCCTGGTTTCCGAAGCTGAATGCTGAGGTCATTAATTCTCCACCTTGTCAACATCATCCAAGGTTACAAATTCCCTCCTGTATGATTCTGATCTGCTCCCCAGCCCAGCGTGCAGCTCTGCGTGTCTTCTCCCTGCTGTGAGTTACGAGAAGTACATCCCTGGGCCTTCCTGCACACGGGGTTTTATCTGCCACTGTTTTGTTACTGAGTCTCACTCAGACACAGCCAGTCCTGGAGAGGTACTGAGATTTTCTCCCTGCGGTTTGAGGCCAGACCTCAACAGGCTCATTTCCCTGGAATACCATGCTCCTGGATGGTAAGAGCCCCATGCCAAGGACACTGTCCACTGCTGTCCATGCGTCTGACCAGTTGGAGCTGCGTCCTTACTGTTGAGTCAACTTGACCAATTCACTACTGAGTGGACAGTCAGTCTCAGCTAGAGGAGCAGACCTGCACATCTGTCACTCCTGTTTGCTGTGTTTCCATTCCATCATCTTCACCCTCCTGCACCTATAGTTACTGATGCACAGACTCATCTTACTAAAGTCGTTTTCTACTCCATCCCTCCATTCAAGCAAGCCTGAGGTTTCTTTGCTGCCCTCTGCACCAGGGCCTTTGCACTGGCCACTGAAGAGAATGTCCCTCTCCAGTTCCCTCCCACTCTTGCCTTCCCATCAAGAGCACTCTCCAGGAGCAGCCACTGATGCCGTAGTGTTGGGGACCACTCTTTGTAAGCTGACATAGCACCCATCCTAGGCTCTCCTGGCCCTGCCTGCCTCATGGGCTGGCTCTGGAATGTGGAAATCAACTTCCTCTTGGTCAGTGAGATTAGCACCCTGGTGTGGAGATGAATCTTGGCTTGTTTCCTTTATGTTAAATTGGCTCATTCTACCATGGCCTCTACGCTGTTCCAAAAGCACCCTCCCCCACCTCACACTGGCTAATAAAGTGCCAGCGGGCACGAGATTCAGAGCCCTTTGTTCCTAAAGAGCAACTGTGGTCCCATATTCCTGCAGTGGCCCCCACTTTATCTCCTACTCTTTCTCTCCTTTCCCGCCATGAGGGGAACTAGACCCACGGAGAGGGTCACTAGTGCATGAGCAGGCTGGTGGGTGCCTGGCAACTGGGCTTTGGGTGCCACAGAAGGCCATGGACCAGCACAGCCCAGGTTTCCTTCCCCAGCCACATATGTGTGACAGGGCCCAACCCCAACCAAGGACTCAGGGCTGACCACTGAGGTGGATGCCCAAGGCCAGGGCCCAGAGTCGGGCCATCACCCACCCCAGGCCCAGCTGCTGAGGAGTCTCTACTCACAGCTCACAGAAGGGGCAGCATGGGCCAGGCAGGGAGATGGCCAGGACATGGCTGGGACAGATAGCACCAAGGCCACAGGAGGGCAGCACCATAAGAAAAGCCACACACCCAGGTGTTGTCCCCTACTGTAGGGACTGCTGGCTCAGGCTCTCCCAGCCCTCACACCCTGCCAGGGGTCTGGACAGATGGCTGGAGTGTCAGATGGGAGTGGCATGAGGAGGACGGGCTTTTCTGCAGCTTGGCCCTGGCCACCCACAAATCCTTTTCTGTTGTGTACCTCCTGGGGGCCCCTTGAGGAGCAGACACCTGGGTGTGCAGTAGGGCAGTCTGGGAGGATGAGGATGGCTCTGAGATGAGCAGGGAGTTCTTGTCTGTGCCTAGGGCACAGGGGTGGGCAGGGCCAGGAGCAGAGCTGTTGGGCAGTATCCAGGCATCTCTGTCCTCAGAGTGGTGGGCTTGGAGGATCCAGTGAAGAGCAAGCAAAGCCAGGAACCGCGCACAAGACAGCACCTCCCTGGAAAGGCACGCAGTTGACTGGACTCGGACATAAGGCTGAGGACACAAGACAGATGCAGACCTGTGCTGGGGCACTGTCCACCACGGTCATGGACACAGTGATGATATTGCTGGCTGCATGGCAGTGTACACACACTCAATACCATGTACATCTGTAATACCAGCCTCTCAGAGAGGCTAAAGCAGGAGCATCTCAAGTTCAAGGACAGTCTGCGCAACTTAGGGAGACAGTCTCAAACAGTAAAGAGTGCTGGGGTTGCAGCTCAGTGTAGAAGCCCCTGGGTTAAACTCCAGTGTTGAAAAAAAGAAGTTAGGACACCAACACCAACCCCACCCCCGTCCTGAGCACAGGCATCTGTCAAGGGGCGTTGATGGGCAGGGGCCAACTCAGGAAAGGAGCCTGGGGGCGCCAGACCCTTCAGGACACTGGCACCTCTGAGGGCACTCTGTGCTGGCCTACTTAAGTGGTGATGTGGACATCCAGCCAGGGCTGGATGCTGGGAAAGGGAGGGTCATGCAGTCTTGGCTCCAGTCAAAGACCAGGTGATGGGAGCAGCTAAAAGCAAGGTCACCGCAGCCAAGCTTGCCCCACCAAAGGTGCCAGGCAGGCACAGGGAGGAGGGAATGGGCGCCAAGCCTGCAATGCAGAGCAAGGGGGCTGTGGACAAGGCCAGGGGAGCCTCAGGAAGGTGTTGGGGTGCGGAGGCCAGGGCAGGTGTGACCTCTCAGCGGTGCTGGACAGGGGCACAGACAAGAGTGCCCATTCCTCCCCTGGTGGCGGGTGTTCAAAGCCCTCTAAGGGCTGCCACATGGGTAAGGGCTGCCACATGGGTAAGGGCTGAGCTGGGGACATCCCAGCCTGGGCGCCATCTGGTGGAGGACACTGGATGCTCAGGAGCTGCGCCCCAAATGCAACTGGTGCTCTTGAGCAGGGCAGGGACTCATCTTGCAGTGCTGGGCCAGGACCCAGGGCAGCAGCTCTCAGGGGAGGGTGCCACAGCGGTGCAGGGTCTGCACAGGGTGTAAGACCTCGAGCACCTCTGCGAGCTCAGGGCCCTTCAGGTAGTAGCCTGCATTCTAATAGCAGAACCACCCCCAACAGCCATGAGATGGATGGCACCATGGCCACCTCAGAGCATCAGGGCACCAGGTCCCAGAAAACCTGGCCCTGGAAACGCAACGCCCTTCCCAGGCCTGCTCACCTGGGTCATGCCGCCCAGATGACCGATGCCTTTCCCTGTACACACACTTTCCCCCAGACCAAACCTCGGCAAAAAGTCCCACAGTCCTCTGACCCACAGGAAGCTGTGCTCTATGCAGCCCCCGGCAGAGCCTGCAGGGCACCTGTCCCCACCTTGGGAACCCAGACCAAGAAGAGGCCGAACAGAGCAACGTGTTTTATTGAACTCATGGATGAGGCACTGCAGAGCGGCCACAGCCACCTGCGGGATGGTGTCCTCACCACTCAGCCTGCACAGCAGCGCCACCCCCAGCCAGGAAGCCACATGGCCTAAGCCAGCACAGGAGGACCAGATCCAGGAGCACGACTGCCCACACAGGTCCAGAGCGGTAGCCGCCCCAGAGGAGGGTGCCCACCACCAGCCCCAGCCAGACCCACATTGCTCTTCACAGTAGGCTTCTTACAAAAGGATTACAGGGTGACTCGCACTTAACAACACTCTTCTTGAAAATTCATTTCAAAATAGAGAAGCTTTCCCTGAACTGCAAAAGCCATAAAAATGCAAAATACTTCTTTAGGAAAAACTGAGTCAAAATTAGACCTTGAAGTTCAAAACAGCAGGAAACAGTTTCTCCCCAAGGGAGCAGGTGACAGCCTAGCCAGGTCAGTTGTTCTCGATCTGCTCCAGGTCCAGGTCACCCTGGTCCAGAGGGAAGATGCCCTCTTCTCCAGCACTGTCCCAGTCACTGGGATCCCCACTGCTCCCGCCCTCACCCTCACCCTCACCAGCCTCTGGCTCCCTTGAGGTCCATGGGCTGGCGGGGCAGAGGCCAGCAGCCCTCAGGCTGCAGCCAGGTGTGACAATGCCCACAAGGCCCTGCGAGTGACATGGGGACAACACAACCATCTTCGCCTGGGTGTCATCCTCATCATCATCCTCGTAGTCCAGTGAGCAGAGGCTCTTTGAGTTCTTTAAAGTCTGCAACAGAAAAAACAAGCTGAACACACTTCAGCACCCTGCTTCGAGGCAGTACTCGGCCCACACCTGTGCCCTCGGGGCCAGCATCCTGGAACCGCTCTCCCTGTCCCTGCCTTGCCCTGTTGGCTAGTACCTGGGTGGTTCCCATGGTACCTGCTACAGCCTCACCCAGACCAAAGGCATCCAGCTTGCCAGGCTTGACTTCTGGTGAGACCCAGGTGCCCAGGGCACTCAGTGTGGGCTATGTCCTGGGGTTCCCTCTTTTCTTGCTTTTTTTGGGTTAGGAAGCGGGGCCTGGGCATTCAACCCAGGCCTTTCCACCAAGATATATCCCCAACCCTTCTCGTTTATTTTTTTTAAGACAGGGTGCTGCTAGATTTCCCAGATAGAGCTCCAAGTCACCATCCTCCTGCTTCAGGCTCCCACTGCTAGGATGATAGGTGCGTACCACCACACCAGAAAGCCAACCTCATACATGGCCAGGGAGGGGCCCATGCTCCCCATTTTCAACAACCTTCCAACAAACTTCCCTGAGGACAAGGACCAGAATGAGGAACAGAATGAGGACAATGCTCCTTCCAGCTGCCTTCGGGCTTTAGGCAGGGAGCCTTCATGTCTAGCCCTGGACTTCAACTCTTTGGCTCTCAAGCCCCGCCCCTCAGCCCACCCCACTCCCTCCCTGCCCCTAGAATGGTGAGGGTTCTTTATTTGATGTGGGTTGGCAGCCTAGAAGCAGCAGCGAGTGTGCATGGCTCTGCCTCTCACCCACAACAACACTCAGAAAGAGCCCAGGTGGCACAGCCTCAGCCTCTGGTGTGCTGTCTTCCCCCGCACACTCTGCCTGTCAATTCCACCTGGGTCTGCAGTCGCAGACCAAGCTCCCCCAACAGAGTCCTGTCCACTCTGGAGCAGTTCCCACATACCCTCTAAGCTGAGGTTGTACCACTCGCCCCTGGGTGTGACCTGACCTCGAGTCTCCTGGAGCCGCCTCTGAGCCTGGCCTCCTATTCCTTGTTCTGCAGGGCCCAAGCCTGCCTGCCTTCCCATGCACAGGCCACCTCAGCTCCTCCAGGCTCCCCCTGCTGGATGCAGCTTGCCCAAGCTCATGCCAGACTGCTCTGCTGAGCTACAGATGCCACCACAAGGCTTGGCCTGAGGGTGCAGGTGCTGAGGCACAGTGACATGGGAAGACTGTGACAGATCATGCAGACACAGCAGTGCTAGAACAGGGTGGCACTGGTCCTCATACCACTTGGCCCCCACAGCCCAATACCATCCTCCTCAGAGCTATGAGCAGCAATGGGAAATCTCTTCTCCTTCTACAAAGTTCCCGAAACAGTCTCACAGCAACATGAAACAAACAGGCACACGGTTCCAGGGAGGAGCACCTCCCTGGAAGCTGAAGTTACCTCCTTCCACGGGAGAAATGACAGTGGGTTTCTTTGTTGTTCAACTATCAAAAAGTAAATATTTGAGAATATTCTAAAGAACTAAATCATTCAAGGTATAACTGGTCACACTTTTTTGTCACATAATTTCTTTTTTCCAAACCAAAATAAACTTTATTATCCATGTCTCTCTTACATGCAAACTCCACATGGGTGGGAAGGCCAGGGTCATAACCAGAGTCCTGCAGGACGTGGGGTTCCCACAGGCAGTTCGGGCACTGGGCCCAGGAGTCACCACTGCCACGACTGCCACGCGTAACCAAATCAGGCACCATGTGGTGAGCAGCCCAATCTTAAATTTTGGTTCACAACACACAGGTCGCTCTGTGGACAAACACAAGCCTGAGCTTTGCAGGAGCCACCACCTGGACCTGTCAGCCTGCTGTCATAACACCAGACCTCCCAGACTGCAGCTGTACAGCTCTGGTGAAAACATCAGCAGCCTCAACAGCCTCAGCTCAAAACCTACAGTCAACACAGATGGCACGTGCAGCGGGGCGAAGAGAAGGACAGCCACAGCACTGTGAGGACAACAAGACCACACCACTGCCACCTGCCCCTCCTGCCTGTCTAGCCTCCTACTCCCAGGCTCAGCCCAAGGTCTGAGCCTGCTGCACCCATAGCCAACCAGACAGCACACAGGAACCCCCCTCCACAGGCTTGGCCCCAGCTGTGGGCCAGGCTCTGAACCCCAAAGAGTCTTTGGAGCTGTGTGCATGACAGTCTGTGGGCAACTGCCCATCCAAGGCAGTGCTAAGGCTCCAGCACCTATAGCTGGGTTCACTCAACAGCAATGAGCTGGTGATTCTGGGAGAAAATACACACCCTCCTACAGCCACCCTGACACACTTCACAAGTGCCCAGCCCAGCCAGCCATGCCTGTACCAACCCCTCACTCACTGAGGACTCTGGCTGTGCCAAGCTAAGGCAATTGCACTCCTCTGAGGGCACAAGTTCCTCTCACTGTGAGCAATACCATCCCCAGCCAGTGCCAGGTGGGGTCAGTGCCAGGGACGCAGGTTGCACGAGTGCCAGCCAGGCCAAGAAACAGACAGCCGGGCAAGCTCAGCACTTCCCCAGTTGCTAAGGATGCAAAAGACCTGTCCTGAGCCACAGGGGCTCAAGGAATGTGGCAGGATCCACACCTTAGGCAGGACAAAAATGGCCAGCTGTTCCCACAGGCACACACACGTGCTTTTCTGTGTGAACAGATGCCATGGACCCCCCACATACACCCCTGAAGATCTGCCTGAAGTCCTTGGGGTGCAGTTCACACAGGGAAAGGGGAAATGTGAGAACTTTTGATGAGGTGGGGCCAAATGCAGTGCCCAGGCCAATGTGGCCCTGCACTTTCCAAGCAGGGGCCACAGTCTTTGGGGATCTTCATCATTGAGACACTAGAGACACCAGACATGTCCAGGCACACCAGGAGGTCCCCCAGGGGGTCCACAGGCTATGGGAGGAGTGCCAGGCTCAGAGGCTGAGGAGAGACATCCAGTGCCAGGGCCAGGGATGCTGGGAGCACCACCCTCCAGAGTCCAAAGAAGCCCAGCCAGCAGGCCCCGTGAACATCTAACAGAAATGCCCAAAGCTCTTGTACTTCAGGTGTTCCAAAAATGCAGACAGCAACCCAGAAGAGCACCACCCTGTGACCCAGGGACAGATGTGCAGCCTACAGGGCACCAGAGGAGCCTGAGCACTGGAGCAGCGGGCAGTCAGGGCCACAAGGTGCAATTCAGCATTACAGGCCAACATCTGCCTTGAAAGCAGCCTCCATCCAGATGTACAGGATGCATGACCCTAGCAGACCACACCTACTTACTATCTTGTCATTCCATGTTTAGCTTCCTCCAATGTTGAATAAACTCTTCGGCTATCTCCTCTGCTTTAAGCTTTTTTTCTCCCCATCAATTATTTTGCTATTTAATTTGGGTAATAGCAATGGTGACAAAGCGTGTCAGCTCTGAAGCAGGAGCTATCACCATCCTGGGACTCAGCTGCGGAAGTGTTGGGCGCAGATGCTCAACATACCATACCCCACCCGGGACTAAGGACCACGCCAGCTTCCGCAATGCGCTACGTCCCTCTCCGAATTAGCCACCCCGTGCTCACTTCGTATTCGCCCCGTGCTGACTCTGTGGCAACCCCTGATTGACCACAGCTGGGTATATTAGCCAGAGCCCGCGTCCCATTCCAGCCCTGCCTCCTCGTGGCAGCCCTCGTGGCAGCCTGATTGGCCACAGTCAGATATATAAGCCAGAACCCGGCGTCAATAAAGTGGCAGTTCCTGTTACCACCTGAAGCATCTCCTGTTTCATTGGGGCTGCGCCGGTCACGGAAGTTCACGTACCAGGCCACCATCCCATGGCTGGATGTGGAGGGCTCCACAAGGCAGGTGGAAGTGGTGGGGTGGGCAGCCCCAGGGCAGGATGCCCCCAACGGTGCAGGAGATGGCAGTGTGGACAACAGCAGAGGGGTAGGAGCCTGGCTCCACTGTCCCCTGCAGCCTCTTGGGGGGAGCACAAGGCCAGCCTGGGCAAGCAAGTGAGACAACAGTCTCAGAGCAGAGTTTTAACAGGGCTTTTTGGTGGTTAGATGCTGGTCCAGGATGAGCGAGGGCCTGGGTCCCATCACCAGAACCACAAGAGAAAAAAAAGACAGCCAGGGATCAAGCTGGCTCTGCCCAGAGATGGAGACTCTGCACAGTGGCCAGGAAGAGGACAGGTCAGGAGATGCGTGTCGGCCTCACCAGGCAAATCTTGATGAGGAGGATGAGGAGCAGCTGTAAATTTTAGCCCCTTGGGTGGAGCTCTGAACACTTGTGCTCTTGATGTCCCTGCAGTGGTCTGAACTTGGCCCCTTCTAACTCACAAGCAGTTCAGACTCTGTAGTGTGTTGCCGGGAGGGGACCTCTGGGAGATGACCAAATGGGTCCTCCTGTGTGGAGGTGGAGAACCTAGCTAAGGTTCACTTTGTCCTTCTACCTCTTATGTGCACAATACTGTCCCCCCAAGGAGCACGGCAACATCTTGGAACAAAGACCAGGCGCTAGCCAGAGGAACTGTTGCCAGCACCTTGACCTTGAACTCCAGCCTCCTGGCTGAAAGAGCCTTGTGCAAGGGGCTGGAAGTTTAGCTCATCTCAAGCAGGCAGTTGTGAGTTCGATCCCTGGTACCGATAAAAAGGAAAAAGACAAAAAAAAAAAAAAAAAAAGCCTTGTACACACACTGCTGCCTGTAGAATTAGGCCACAGTAGCAGTCCTCCGGTGCTATGAGCTGCTAAGTGTTGGGGTTTTTTACTATCCACAGAGAGCAGGAAGAAAAGTGTTCCCAGTGTCCAGGGACTGGCTGCAGGAGGAGAGTCTGCCTCCTCCAAACTCTGAACACACAGCCCAGTCCAGGGGCCCTGGGTCCCCAGCCTGAGGGCGCACCTCCGCAGGCCACACCTGCTTCTGCACCTTCTCTTTTGGCCTCCCTGTGCTCTGCACATTCCCAGTCTTATCACAATTACAACTCTGCAACAGCTCTGCCTGAAAAACAGAAACTTCTAACTCTTTGCTGTGAAAATACTGGGCAGAGGGCTTTGGGCAGGTGGCACGGCTTGTCGCCCTCTGCTGATCTGCTTCAGTCTGCAAAGTCCCATACCATAGGAACCATGCTCCTCCTCTGGGCCTTTGCAGACCCACACACCAGCTCCCCACCCAACAAGTGGCCAACCAGCCCACACCATAATCCACTCTGCTCCAGAGCCACCTGAAAGTGAACACTGGGGAAGCCCACGCACGGGCTTCAGTCAGGTAGATGCCCAGCTCCTAAAGGCACCACTGCACAGAAGCGGCTTTTGGGCCCAGCCTGAATGCTCCTGCTGGGGGCAGGAAGACTGGGTCACACAAGGTGATGTGTTCCTCTCAGCATCCCTGCCAGTACCTCATTCTGGGAAAAGTGGGACCCACATAACTCCCCCAGAAAGGACCTGTGGCAGACACAGGAGGGAGCAGGAAGCAGGTCCTGCAGCACAATGCACCCCCAAGCGCCCACAGGCCCACAGCCCCAGCTGTGCTCAGTCTCCGGCATCCCTGACCCTATAGGTCAATGGGGCCAATGCCATGATGCTTCCTGTGACTGCCACGTAGCAGTTTGTGACTACTGAGGACCTGGTGTCTCCATGTCAGTCTTCCTGGTGATGGCATCAAAATTAAATGGAGCTGACAAGCTCAGAGGCGAAGAAAAGGAGAAGGGTGGTGTCAGGTGGAGATGCAAGGGGCCTGGGTAGATGACTGGGGTGGAGTGGGGGAGGAGTGGGCAGAGAACACATTCCACAGCAGTAGGACCGATCATCCACCTGGGCTCCCACAGAACCGTGTGAGCCCGGAGGTGTCCACAGCCAAGAGCTACTGCCCACCTCACAGCCCTCTGGGCTCTGGGACTCCCAGCTCCAGGTCCAGGTCCAAGCTCCTCCAGGAGAAACTCCAAGCTAGCAAAGCACACTCAGCAGCCGAGTGCTGCTCACTGGTCCCCATGCTCCATAGCAGCCCATCCCCAGTGGGGAACAGCATGCCACATTCTGGGACACGCCAAGTCCTTGCCTCAGCCACAGGTCACCCTCTGGGACACCCCTGGACCTGTGCTGACCCCAGTCACAACCATCCTGACCACACTCCTTCCTCCCAAGGGGTCCAGAGCAGGGCTGTCCCTGTCATCAGCATACCCCAGCTCCCCACCAAGCAGCCTCTCCCTCAGCCCTCTCCTGCCAGGAGAGCAGAGCACTGTCAGGGCTTCCTTCCTGATCCCAGCCCCCATCCCACAGCATGTCTACCTAGTGTCCACCAGAAAGAACCCTCCAGAGAACCAGTCAGCCCACAGGAGCCTTACCACGGCCCAAAGCAGGCCTCCACTAGGGACCCCTGCACTCCATAATTGGTAGCCAGGAGGGCCTGTGTGGACCCTGAGACAGACAGGGCTCACAGGCTACTCAAGCAGCTGCCCCCAGGACAGGCATGACACCCACCCCAAAGCACCCCACAGGGTGAGAAGTAGAGGCCCAAACTGCTGAGCTCTGCCTCAGTCTCTGCTGGATTCTCTTTGTTCCCACCTCCTTCCCCACCCAGCTTAAACACATGGAAGTGGCCACAGCCCTCCCCCGAAGCAAGCATAACAGGAACCCTGGTTGCCACTCCATGCTTCTCCTCTGACTCTGAAGAGTCATGACAAGCAGATGGAGAAGCACTGATAATTCCTTCCAGACCAAGATTCAAAAGCTCCTTCAAGGGTCAAGGACTGAACTCAGCAGCATAAGCGCCTGTCTGGCAAGCATGAAATCATGAGTTTGATTCCTGGTACAAAAAAAAAAAAACTTCCTCAAAAAGAACTGTCCCCAAGAGAGGCAGGGACATCCTGAGGACACTCCATGCCACACTCCCTAGGCTGAGTGTGGCTCACCAGGCTCAGCCTCTCCTGGGCTCCTCATGGTGTCTCACGCCACCCCAGCCAGGTGATGAGGGAGGCAGTCCCATTCCTCAGCAGAACCCACACTCAGCTCCTCATTCCCTGCCAGGGCTTGTCCCTAGGACTCGGAAGCCAGGCAGTGGGAACCACCCAGCACTGCAGAGGGGTGAGATTGGTTTCTCAGAAGCCACCTGCTGCCTGCCAGCATAAGGATGACCATGAGCACCCCCAGAAAGGACAGTGAATCCTCACCCGAGTCATCTTGAGAAAGTCCAAGGATGGGCGTGTCCACCTGGCATCCTTCTCTCGCCTGCGCTTGCGCCGGCTTCTTCTCCCACCCAGCACACAGGGCTGCGACCGGCACCGCAGCAGGCCATGGTGCCGGCCAAGCTCAGGTGTGGACGCTGGGGTGCTGCTGGCTGAGGGCGGATGGGTACCAGCTTCCATGAGGTGCTCCTATGAGAGGGACAGGCAGCGCCTCGAGGACAGTGGGCAGGGCCCTGTAGGACGCCAGGATGGGCCTGAGCCTGTACTGCCCTCACTGCTGTCCACAAAGCCACTGCTGGCTGACGCTGGCCAGGGTGCCAGGGGTGAAGTGGGGCCAGCAGGTGACAGGGCCGTACCCCCAAGGCCACTACAGCGCTGCAGTGTAGCACTCCCCGCACTGTTGCATCACCTCTTGGAGACTAGAGTCCAGACCTTGGAGCCACCAGGGCACCATGGCGACCAGCATCGGGCAAGCTCTTCTGGCTCCGACAGGGACCGACAATGCCGCTTGGTTGGCGGTGCTGTGAGTGGCCCTGTGCTCCCCTGGAGGTCCACAGCACTGCTCACACCCAGGCCGGTGCAGGGGTCCAGAGACTCTGGCTGCCACTGAAGACCCTGGGCCTGAGCAGCACCACAGGGAGCCAGTGGGAAGGGGCAGCAGGGGCTGGCAGCTGCCTGCCTTCTGCTGGGCCATCCTCCTCGAAAGGCCTTCCAGGGGCTCCTGTCCACTGAGGAGACAAAGCACAAGCAGGAAAAAAGACAAGTGTGTGGGGGCTGCCGCTACCCACCCTATGGGGCACAGGCCAACTGGCCTGGCTCCTACAGACCCTACTCTGTGGCACTCAGGCCCCGCACACAGATACAGGCACAGGTATCCAAATAAACCACCCTGGGTAAGCGACTGGCTACAGAGCTAGCTCCACTTCCCAAAGGAAGACACTCTTTTCAGGGAGTCATGCCAGTGTCACCTCCAGAGGCTCCTAGAAGCACCAACGAAGGGCCCTCACTCCCACTTTGCCTCCACTCTGTTCCCACCAGCGTCTCAGGCAGGCGCCCTCTCCACCGGATCCTTAGAGCGGCTTCTGACAGCCATGCTCCCCCTGCCACGGCACAGCAGGGCCCTGTGTCTGCTCTGCCTGGCTCAGATGCCCACCTGCCCACACACCAGGGTTTCCCACTGTCCACCTCTACAGAGATCCCAACACCCTCAGACCCCATTTCAACTGTGGCACAGAATGGCGATGGCTATAGGTGGCTGCAGGTCCTGAGGTGCTGCAGGTACACAGCAGTGTCATGTGTGGAGAGGCCCAGAGGAGGCCCCATTCGGCACCCCAGGAAGGCTAGACATCCCTGGGGTATCGAGCCCTAGTAGCACCCCCAGCCTCAGCAGCCCAAAGCCTTGGCTTGCCCATACCTGCCTGTGCTCAGGCCCTACCTGGTGCCCAGACCCCATGTCCAGCTGTTGAGGGCACTGCCCCCTGCAGTAGTTCACATGCAGACTCAGCAGTGTGCTTCTCCTCAAGTAGAGGCAGCTGGGCCACAAGCCTGGACACCCCCCAACCTGCCCTGGAGCAGGAGTCCAGGAATCTGAGTCTCTCCTGCTGCTTATGCAGTTACTGTCCAGCTGGGGACATGACGTGCACTCGGATGACACGTGTGACGTGTGATATGTGACATATGTGACACATGTCACATGTCACGCATGTCGTGTGCATCACGGGACACGTATGACGTGCACTCTGGATGACAGATGTGACATGTGACTTGACATGTGTGACACATGTCACACATTCCTTGTTGCTATACCCTCAGTTACAGGGGGTTTGACTAAAAGGTGGATGTGTATATTAAAGCCCCGCGTGATACCTAACAAAGGCAGCCAGTGAGCGCCATGCCCTCAGAATTGTTCCTAGTATTCAGTAATGCATTCCTCCTGCTATGACTCTGTATAAAAATGTATAGACACAGATAGCAAAACTTACTTCACTGCTGAGCTTATGAGGACAAGGCTGGAAGAGTTAGAGGTGATTGGTCCACCAATCCGACAGTGATAGGAAGTTCAAAGTATGCCCAAGCCTCATGTCTCAGCACGGTTGATAAATCAGAGTGCTGGAGCAGGGTGGCCCCTATACATGTGTCTGATGGGGGCAGACTGCAAGATAAGATCAGAAAACTTGGTGGTTGAGGAACGAGTCAAGCTGCTAATAAAAATAATGTTTCCCCAGATACATTACCACCCCTTGATGCTGCCTAAATCTCAGGGAGTTGGTCTGGATGCTCAAACTTCTGATATTCTAGAGGCCACTCATAAAGCCTTAAATGCTTCCAACCCAACTTTGGCTGAAGAATTGCTGGTTATGCATGGCACAGGGCTCCCCCATGCCCCTTGCCATTCCCACCAGTGTTTCTCTGGCTACACTGGAGAAACAAGATTACTTAAATTATAGTGCTGGTCCCCCTTTACAGTACAACCAGTAGGCTTCAAGGACTCTGTCTCCAAGGAGGTTTTCATAATGATACCTCCAACATTGACGTGGGGTTCGTTGCATTTACTAATTGGAGTTCCATAGTTAACCAGACTACCTCCCTTTATCCCACCTGAGGACAAGTATTTATTTGTGGAGGACATTTGGCCTATACTTTCCTCCCAACTAACTGGACAGGGATACATGTAACAGCTGTCCTGTTGCCTAATATAGAGATCCTACCTGGGGATGAGCCTGTCCCCATTCCTAGTTTAGATTACATCACAGGCCACTCAAAGAGGGTAATTCAATTTATTCCTTATTGGTAGGCCTAGAAATATCAGGGGCCTTAGGTATGGAGGCAGCAGGAGTAGGGGTTTCTGTCCAATCTTCCAGATTGTTAGTGACATGCAGGCATTATCTAGTACCACTCAGGTCATTCAAGACCAAATAGACTCGTTGGCTAAAGTGGTTCTCCAAAACAGAAGGGGACTAGATCTCCTAACAGCAGAACAAGTAGGGATCTGTGTGGCATTGCAGGAACAATGCTGCTTTTAATTGACTCCCTAGCTGAAGTAGCTCTCTAAAAATCGCAGAGGGCTAGACCTCCTGTTAGTTGAAAAAGGACTATGCTTGGCTTTAGGAGAGCAATGCTGCCTGTATGCTAATAAGTCTGGGGTGGTAAAACAAAATTTAGCTGAACTCCAAAAAGGCATACAAGAAAGAGAAAGACTAAGGTGAGAAACTCTGGGATGGACAGAACAAATGTTCTCCTTCCTACCATGGATGACAAACATAATAGCGACCGTAGCCAGTCCTCTTGTTATGATTCTGGTGTTAGTTACTTTAGGTCCCTACATAGTAAATAGGCTAACTGCATATATCAGGCATCAGATGCAGAGCATAAAATTAATGTCCCCTGAGATCTTTAGGTCAAAGATTTGACCTCAGTCACAACATCAGAGGGGAATGTAATAACCTAAGGCCCCCTAACTATCATGCCATGAAGCCTGTTCTGTATAAACCTGCCCGCTGCTTTCCCTCCTCTTCCCCCTTCAAATCTAACTAGGTTAAGTTTTAACTTCCTAAAAGGCCATGAAGCAAAGGCCTGAGGTAATAGCTCTTGACAACCCCTTCCTGACCCTGTAGCCCGTCACAAATTGTGTTAATTGCATTAGATTGTATTAGATTGTACTATTATTCACAAAAATAGTTGCGTTATATTTGTATCATAGCAATACCTGTAACTTGGCCTTACTGTCTGCGTTTTCCTATTCCCTTTGGATGACCTAATTGATATGTTAATCAATGCACTCCTCTGTAAAGAATTGTAAAATCTTACCTAATTGACATGTTAATCATTGTTACCCTCTACAAATAACAGTGGTGGTGCTGAAGTAGGGTAACTAAGGTTGTTAATTGCTATACTTCTCTATTCTTTGCTAAGAAAAATAAGATTTCTTCTTATCTAAACTTGCTTGTATGCAGAGAAACTTGCTTGTTAGCACAACCTTTACATGATCTTGCTCTTCCCAAGACGTGTAATCGCCCCGTTTCACCTCCAGCCCCTTCCTTACATTGTGTGACCAGCAGCTGTTTGTGGATTTACAAGATAAAAGCCCTAACTTAGATGTCAGGTACGCTGTCTCCAAATTGGCTCCTGGAGACTCGTCACCAGGCCTGGAAATAAAGCCTTTGCTTCCCAAATTTTAATTTCTTGCTTCCTTGGATTTTATACCAGGGTCTGAGTTATCACACCTTTTTTTTTTTATTTAAAAGGAAAAAGAGAAAAAAACAACAAAACAAAACAGTGTAAGGGTACAAGTAATACAGAACTACAAAAAAAAAAAAAAAAAAAAAACAGTAAGAGATGACCAGATAATAGATTACACACTATCGTCTTAGAAACAGTGGTTCAGGTCACAGGATCAAAGCATACAAAGTGAACATTCCAAGAGTGAGACTGCAAATAGTTGTGTTCAATGATCCAATGAAAAATATTAATATTGTCATCTATTTAACACACCTAAACGCTCTTGTTGTACCCTTTAGGGCACTTTTTTTCCCCTCTCTTTATTGCAAGAAAATTTACACATTTTGGGTTTTATTGCTCCCATAGATCTTATTACTTTTTTTTGTAAGAGAATAAAATCAAACATGATAAAACAAAGCTGTCAGTCAAAATCAAGGATAGACATAGCACATGATGTAAAAACAGAGTACAAGGTTATCAACAATGGTTACCATAATGCCTCTTGCTTCCTTAAAAAGAATTGTCTATCTCATTAGGTATTATAAAGTTAAACAAAACAGTAGAGAACAAGACCAATAAAACCTAAACATTGTAAACCTTAAAGAACTTCAAAAGAGGATAATAGTCAAACCAGAATGGGCATCATAGTGAATCTTATTGCCTTCAAAGTAGTTGCCTATACTCTGATACTTGATTCTATCATACAGAGCAGAACAGAGTCTAATCAGTCAAAACACGATAGTGGGAGTATTACAGGACTTCAAATCAAGTTAATAGGAAATCAAAAAAGTTATTATAATATATCCTGTTAGTTTTTTTAATTTTTTCCCTTAGTTTAAAAAAGAAATAAAAAAAATAATTTTTTAATGAATAAGGGAGAGGTTGAGATAAAAGAGGGCATAACAGCATAACAATACAGGTTAAAGCATGGCCCCCAGGTGAAGAAGAGAGTACTTTATTTGACCTACAGGAAGCTCAGCTGGGGTGGTGTTTCCTGCCTCTGCCAGAGTCACTCATCTGACACGAAGCCAGAGCCTGGCCCCCAGGTGAAGAAGAAAGTTCTGGGGCTCCGCTGGACTCACTCGACAGACAGGAAGCGGGACCCTGGTCGCCAGGTGAAGAAGAGAGTTCCCTGTGCTGGGGCAGGGTTCCCTGAATCCACAGACAC